TTGCACAGTAGTGCCCCAAAAGTTTCGTACTCTCTCTTGGGGGACAGCCATGCATATACTGGCAGCAGCACCCCACTAGTTCCACACTTGCTCCGGACAGGGCAACCCTATGTGCAAACACTGTTGCACTTTGCTAATTCTGTACTTTCTCTAGAACAGGCCCATGTACATTTGCATCAGTACCCCAATATCTCTACACTTTCATTGTATGGGACAATCCCACATGTGAGTACTGCAGTACTTTGGTATTTTCATACTCTTCTCCAGGTGGGAAAGCCCCATGTGCACATCTTAGTGGGTTACACAAAGCAGCACCATGTTGTACCTGATAGATCAATCTCAGGGTGGAGCAGCCCCACGAATGTGAGCTATGTTGTCCTTATTTTCCTGCTGGAGGTAGTCCAGGAGGGTTTGCTAGTGACACACTGCAACAGCCCTGCAGATCAGCCAGAGAAGCTTGTTAGAGCTCCTGCCCACCATCTAAATGCAGGGGAAACATAAATAATGGTGTTCATTGGTTCTTCTGGTCCTGGAGAATTTCCTAAGCTCTCAGTGAGCTATCCTGGTTTCCCAAATTTCTATTTGTGATCTCTTGTTTGTTTTGCAGGCTGTTCAATTGGTCCTCAGTTGTCTCTCAGGAGGAACTGTTCTAAATATAAATGTACATTCCATGAGTTTTTGGGAGGGGGCAAACTCATGTCCTCTTTAGCCACCATCTTGGCCCCGTGTCTCAATATTGTTTTTTTTAAAAAAGCTGTTTGGTTACTCTAAATCCTTTGCATTTCTGCATGGACTTTAGAATCAGTTTTTCAATTTCTATTGAAAGTCTGATGAATTTTTATTGGGATTATATTGAGCTACACATCAAATGGCAGAGAACTGACCTCTTAATATACTACTACTAAATCTTCTGAAACATGGTATAATTTTTCTTTTTTTTAGGTCTTTTTTCACTTTTCTCAGCAATGCTTCCTGGTTTTCAATGTATGAGTCTTTCACATCTGTTGTCTAATTTATGACTAAATGTTTCATATCTTTGATGTCATTATAAAATTTCAATTTCATATTGTTCTTTGTGGGTAGATAAAATAAAATTGATTTTTGTATATTGACCTTATATTCTGTACTTTGTTAAACTCACTATTAGTTCTAGTAGCTTTTTTGTAGATTTCATTAGATTTTCTTCATAGATTATCATGTTGTTTATGAAAAAAGATGACAACTTGTTTTTCAATCTAGATAACTTTTTCCTTCTTTTTCTTGTCTGACTACACTGTCTAGAATCTCCAGTATAATATTAAATAGGTGTGGATGTGAATTATAATTTTTTTCTAGTCTGCCTGTTGGGAATAGGCACCACTATTTCCTTTATTTGAGCGTTGGGGACTGTTTCCTTTCCTTTAATTCTTTCAGACAGGTCTTTACCTGTCCTTGGTTAGTTTCACCATATGTGTATGTTGACCTCTACTTTGTTTGAGGAGGAAACTCTGCAGATCTCTGGGATGCCCTCATTGTGAAATCTAGCTGCTTTGGTTTCCTTGGTTTCTTATCTCCATTTCCTCAATTCAGAAAGTTGATTGGTTTTCTCCTGGGTTTCCCCTCCTCCCTTTGCAGCAGTCTAGGGATTCTCCCAGGGCAGTAAGCAGGTGCAGTTGTAGGTTTCACTTCTTTCCCAGCTGTCAGAAATTACTGCTTTTCATTGCCTAATGTTCTGTGTCTTAAAATATGTAGTTTCATTTATATCTGTTTTTTGTTTGTTTGTTTTAGGTAGAAGGTTAAATCTGGTCCCTATTATGCTATCTTGGTTTGAAGTATAAATCCAAAGCTTTGTTCAAACTATCTTATCTTGCAAAGTATCACTTAAATGTTTCTTCCTCAGGCCCTTCCCTCTCAAAAACAGGTCTATGTTTTCCCCCTTATCTCATTTTCCTCTTTCATGGCATTGCTACCTTTTTTTTCCAATTATAATAATATATCTGTGGAATGACTGGGCTTTTTTCATTTTCATTTATTGTTTACCATAATTTTTGCTGGTTTTTCTTTCTTGAGGCATTCCTTCCTTTCTTATTATTTATCATTCCCCCCACTCTGAAAAAAACCATACAGTAAAAGAGGGAAAATACAGATAGGCCTGAGATTTTCCACAGTCTTTCACAGGTTGGTTGTGATTTTGGTATTTAACCTCTCTGTGGCTTGGCTCATCTTGTATTATTATAATAATGTCTAATATTTATAGATGTACTTTTACAAACATTAACCCAGAAAAGGTCCAGAAGTCTCTAAGGGAGGTAGAGATTATGATTTTTACTTTATATAATAAAAAAAACTCAGAACAGTTAAATGACTTGCATAATATTACAAAGGTAATGAGTAGATAATAAATAGAAAAGGCAGAAAATGATATAAAAATCTTTTGACCCTGCTGCTCTCTCCAAAGCATTTCATTGCTTCCACAAATCATAATCTTTAAAATACAGAGGTTTCCTTTGAGTTATAAAGTTTTATTATTCTATGATGTGAAAGACTTGCACATGAGAATTTAAAGATTTAGGGAAGGCAGCTCCTTGGAGCATAACCTACATTACAAGTTGGCCAGTGAAAAAGCCTAGGAAAAGATTGGCATTGAGATGTTTCTAAAATGAAAAGTATCAGGTTCAAAATAGAACGTCATCTCACTTTCAGAGCAAAATTTATATAATAAAATATAAAAATTAATTTTTGAGAGCACCTTTTCCAATATTGTCAATTGTAAAAAAAAAATGTTTTATTTTTGAATGTATTATTTCATCAATCGTGGGTGAAAACTGAAAAAAAAAGGTTTCTAATTATAGAATAATAAAATTGGTTTTCAATGTACCTGAAACCTTAAGAGATACAGGATAAAACAGTGGAAAGCATATAAAGTCATTTTTGCATCAGACAAAAAAGGTCTAAGTTTGGTTCCCACTTATTCTGTGTGACTTTGAGAAACTAATTTAATATCTTTCAACTTCAATTTTCTCATCTGTAGAGGAATCTGCTAATAAATATCTTCCTCAAAGAGTTATGACCATTAAATAATATAACACTGAGTCAAATTGCTGAGCACAATCCTAGAATAGAATAGACACTCGATGGAAGTGGGTTAAATTCTTCCAAATAGGAACAAAAAAGATATGCTTTTCTCAAAGCTAGGAAACAATTCATGAAATGGCTGTACAGTCTCTACTATAATAAAATTGTATAACTATAACCAGTTTATATGATCCAATAGTTAAACATAAAGCCAAATTTTCATAAAACTTATTTTTAAAAGCAAATTCCAGGATATGCCTTCAAGTCAATAAAGAATCAGTCTCATAAAAATATGATTATTATCATATATATGATTATTATCATATATTATCAAGAGAAGTCTTTAAGAAATCTTATTTCAAAATTCAAGGCTTATATGATCACCCATGGAGCCTACTGATAGAGACACAAAGGATGTCTTTATGGACTTATACAGGCTTAATTTTACTTCTGCCTTGACCCTTCAGATATTTCTTTAGAAAAAACTATGATTTTCTTTTGCAAAATTCCAGTAAATCCAGTAACTACAAAAGCTATTTATACTCTCATTTGTCGAATTTGAAAAGTCCTCTGGTTGCTGTGAGCAAAAAGAGCCAGTTGTCGTTCTCTATTCCACTACCATCAGTAAGTAAATACTTCTTACTGAGCTCATACTTGTGTTGGATGTAGAGGATATGAAAATTTTAGATATGGTCTTCAGGTTCTTGTCATGCATTCGGAAAAGTACAGCCTATGCAAAAAAGTAAGTAAACATAAACAAATCTGTGTACAAGGCTGTACACTGTAGGCATTTAAATAAAGGAACTGGCACAACAGAGAGCAGCGGAAGTCAACATTGATGTCAGTGTTCTATCAGAAGGCACCAGGAGCAGAGGCGGGGTGCTCTGCTAGAGTAGAAAACTAGAGAATACTTATGAGCAAAGATAAGTCACCCTCTGGACACTCCCGGAAAAATTTTAAGGATTTCACAGAGACTAACTTTCTTTAACTAGAGGAACACAGTTTTAGGTTTTAATTTATAAGTGATGTGATTCCATTAGAATCTACAAGCTGGTGAGGTGAGGTCTGAAAAAATTCAAGATACAACATAACGTGTGTGTATATTTTATACAAATATGAGGCTATCTTGTATATATGGTTAAGAAACATGCTTTTTTAACGTAACCTACTGATTGACTTACTTAAATATCTCATGTCAATAAATATTCACCCATAACATCACTAGTATCATCTGCACCTCCAATCACACCCTCACTTCCTACTTTTTTAGAATTGCCTAGTCAACCATCTTCAGATTTGCATTTGCTACCATAGTAAATATTAATATTATTGACTCTTATTTGTGAACTTTATTCCCCAACTTTGCAGTGTTTGGTTCTGAAAATCACTATAGAAATGTATGTTTGTGTATTCTATTTTAATAAAAAACAATTAGGAATACTTAGCTACCTCTAAGAAATCTAATTACTTAGAAGCAGCAAATATTGTGGCTCTGGTTAGAATAATTTTACTTAGAAGCAGCAAATATTGTGGCTCTGGTTAGAATAATTTTATAAAATGGCCAAAGGCACACGGTTTCCAAAATAAGAAAGCATTCAGTTATTATTGATACTGGTATATCAGGTTTGTTATTTACAAGGACACCATGGCTCTTCCTCTCAAACCAAAACAAAAGCCAGCAACTCTTGGATTAATAGGACGTGGTGTACATGGTTTGAAATAAGCACTGAAACAATGGATATGAGTAAATGGGTCTATGACAATAACTATTTGAAGTATTTTTATAATTGTAATTAAAATTATCAGGTTGCAGTTCCATAACAAAACAAAAATTTGCATGCATGCTGAATGTGTTGTAAAAAACACATTACTAAGCACAAAGGTATGGATTTAACTCAAGCATTATGACTTAAAATTGTTAGTTTCCTAACCTTTATAAAACTTACTCTGATAGGAAGTACGGATCCGTTTCGTTAAATCAGGATAAAAGTTAGACAGGCCACGCATGCAAAAGTTGTCTTTGGAACATGCCAGAACACCAGCATCAGCAGCAGGCAGAGGAAAGAGAGAAAAATAGTCTAAAGTGAAAGGAAGTGATATCATACCAGAATCTAGAACAGCCAAGATGAAGAAATTGCAGCAAGTTTAGGTAATCAAATTAGAGAGAAGATATTAAAAAAATAAATCAATTAGAAAGTAAAAGGTGATAGATGAATGATGAGAATGCTGTAGTAATTTTATTTAATAAAAAATCTTATAAAAATAGATTACATATTTCTCTTATTAGTTTTTCACACAATAAACTTATTGGCTTGCAAATAATATTCATAATTTACCTCATAAATATCAAAATGGTTGTTTTTAATTTTCAATATTAAAAAGAAAGCTTAGGGATTTTAGTCTTTAAATATTTTATTTTTATAACAAAGTGAGTACTCATTTTATATATTAAATATAAAATTTACGACTTCATCATGGTTTTTCCTGATTTTAAAGTCATCAGGATTCTAAGCTCTAATCATGAATATTGAGGCTCAACAAGCCTAAACTAAATTAAATAACAGTTGTATTACCTTTGTCACCCCACTGTTGTATATCCAGCAAGTAATTTAGATGCTGTCATAGGATTCAAAACTTTTCTAATTGAATTGGTGCTTTCTGTATGCAAACAGTGCCTACTCTAGAGTCCATGAACTTTCAAAAATCAACTGTCTCTTTCCCAACTGTGAGGAGATATTATGGCACATGCATTCATAATTTCTCTTATTCTGCCTTACTTTCAAAAGCCAGTAGTGGTTCAGGCAGAACCTGTAGAATTTGAAATTTCCAGCACTCCTAAAATATTGCTAAAAGGTACGATTCCTAACAAAACACAAAGAAACTCCAGGTTCTGAAAAACTTTTATGCTCCTGAAAAGGGTCAAACTTAGCAATTTGGAAAGGGTTGAGGTTTACAAAAGAAAACTAAACAAAACAGGAGAATTTCAGTAAATCAAACAGTTTTTCATTAGTCCAAAAGGAAACTTCATTGTCATATTCAGATTGTTAAATTTGGCACACCTGCTATTTAAAAAATAACACCTATGATCATGTAGTTCTTTTATTTTAAAGTATTCATGCATGGGTATATTTAGTAAAGTCATCAATATTTAATTGATTATTTAAAAAAATTTAAAAGATCTGTCTAAAATTTAAAAGAACTGTATACTGTATATTTTCTGTCCACTGACATAATACTATAGATGTATTTCCATCCATGAACCTTTTAGCCCAACTAATTTTTACCTAAATTTTTTAACTTAATTATGTCAGTAGACAAAAAATATACAAAATTTTGACAATGTTTACAAAGCTAAATGTTTGGATATATACTGAAATTTCAGTAAAACTTTTAATGGTTTGGTATATCAAAGCTTGGCATCATATAGAAAGTATTTCTGTTATATCCTGACTAACCATATATATTTTTATAGATAAATAAATCAACTTATTGATCCTGTCAAGAACAATGTCATCTTTCATAGCATTTTTAAATATTAATAATGTTTATTGCATTTGTTAAAATGCCTCCTAGAAAGTCACCATACAAGAAAAGATGACAGCTAAAATATGGAGTTAATTTAAAAAGTTAAAAGTAGTTAATGACTATTTTTAACTTTAACTAAATGAATAAGTACTTTTAACATACAGCTTTTAATTAAAAATTATATTTTTAAAGAGGCCAGATATACTAAAAAAACTATTCTCTTTAACATAACCATTGCAAGCAATTTTTTCAACCAGAGAACCTATTTTCATAGCATTTTTATATTTAATAGATTATTTTCTGTTATTTCCTAAGAATTCAACTTAAGATATTGGAGATGCTTCCTAACTTTAACATCGAATTGAAGTGTAAACACTTTCTTTACCCTTTCAAGGATTTCCACTATGTTTCTGCCCAATTTTACTTACATCGTATTGTAAATTATGTTCACTTCAGATTGTCATGAATTTTAATAGCATCACAGAAGAAAGACAAGAAATACAAAGGTAAGAAAACAGATGAACTAATCAAGTTCATAAACGTTTTGTTTTATCTCCTACCTGCAATGAACTGCTTGTTTTTTCGAGGAGACCGTGGTTGTCGTTGGTATAGGTCACTCGATCTATATAGGTCAATAGTTCCCATGCTTAACAGTACTGTCTTCTGTATAAAATCCACCACAGCCAACCCATTGCAGTTCCCAAATGCAACTCTGAGAGGAAAAAATATATATATATGTAGAATGTATCATACCAACCATTATAATTTTTACCTTTGAATTAAAAATAAGATTACAGGATAGTAATGCTATACGGTTGAGGACGTCAGGCAGGGATTAAAATCAGGAAGGATATTATGCTTTTACATAGGATAGGTTGGCTTTGTATAATAGCCATGATACTGAAAATAACAGGAATGTTATGCAATAATATGTTATCATCAATTTTAAAATGTAAGTAGTGATTTCCCAATCTGCTCTTTAATTTGGTCTTATGCTTTTACAAAAGAATCCTGTAACATCTTTTTGCTACCTAATGGGGAAATAGGTCAAGAAATGTCACAATTTTAAAAGCTTCAGATGCTTAAGTATGTAATTAGATGCCTTCGGCAAATAAAATTATAGGTATTAGGCCCCAAATTAGTTTTCTTCTTCAACAAAGCATATTTTAACACAAAATATTACATAAAAATTGATATAGTTAAAGTTGTGATATAGCTAAAGTTTTCACTGTAGTAGATATAGAGATATAACTTTCATTTACAAAAATTAAAGTTTTCTCATTCTTTGTCCCATTTATTAAAAGACAAATAGCATTTATTTAATTTCATAGCTAAATCTCCTGGGAAATTAAAATTGCCCCCCTAAACAGTTATTTTGGTCACCTCAACCATTAGACATACAATAATTTTCCTCCATTTACAACATGCCCTCTAAATGAAAAATTATAAACCTGCACTTTTTGCTCCCTAAATGAAATATACACTAGTTGTATCAGTGCTGTTTTTCTCATTTTATATAAGTTCCATGTTGTTTTATTGCTTAGATTGAATCTAGTTAGCATATCATCTGCATCCTCTGAATCTACTTCTTTCCACTCCATCACATTGCCTTCTTCACAACAAATTAAAAGTTCTAGGATACTAGATGTTTTAGGATACTAGATGTTTTGCTATTTCAGAGTTTTACACCTTCCAGTAAGACAGATTTTGGCAACTGGCAAAAGTTAAAAGATCCCATCTGTATCATTTTATAGATTATTGTATTTGCCGTGTACAATACACACTTTTTTGCCCAAATTTGTGAGAGAAAAATAAGGATCTGTATTATAAATGGGTAGTAATAATTCTGTATCTATATATATGTTTTAAATTCTTTTATTTATGCTTATGAGTTAAAAGTGTAACTCTGGAAATCAATAACGATATCCATATGCAAAATAATACATGCAATATGATAATCGGTTTTGTTGAACTTAGATGAACTTGTAACGAAAGTAATTTCAGCCAATGATTCAGTGAAATGAAATGAAGAGTGATGTATTGTTGTCCACAGAGTAAGTGACTCTGACTTGATAAGATAGGTGATGCCAACCTTATTACCATATGATGAACATTTCTCTCATACACTTTAGACGGGAGCTAGCAATCTAGCAGATAATTTTACAAAAATTATTGGAAAATCCCTTGGAAAATTAAAACAAAAGAATTTTCCCCTGAAAGTTTGGGCCAAAAACAGGTGCACATTATACACGGCAAAATATGGTATGTGATTTTGAGAAAAATTAATGAATCTTGCTAGGACTATTTCTTTATAATAATAATTATAATACCAGGTTTATCTAGTTCACAAGGCTTTTTAGGAACATCAAATCAGAAATTTGTTGTTAACATACTTTGAAAATGGGAGGAGAACTGACTCTGGGTGGTGAACACACATGTAATATATAGATGATGTATTACAGAATTGTACACCTGAAACCTACGTGACTTTACTAACCATTGTCAACCCAATGAATTTTAATTAAAAAAAGAAAAATTTCCACAAAAATGTAGAATTAATCTCAATATTATATATAAATGCAACATTATACATATTACATCCTGTAGCAAGTTAATATTTTTTAACTTTTTATGTTAAAATATAGTTAATTACTTCAGTTTACAGGTATGATAGAGTTCCCAAATACAATACTAACAGGAAAAAAAAAGCAACAAGAATATATGACAAAAATATTATCTTTGAATTAAAAACAAAACTACTGCAGTGATGTCAGCATCAGGGAGAGTGAGACTTCTTAGTTTCTCTCTTTGAAGTTACAACAATTTGGACAACTATAATTCAACAAATAATTCCATGCTCAACACGCAAACATGTCTGAGAGACCCGAGCATTGAGACATGTGAAGGTGGGTTTGTACTGTAGAAGCAAGCAGGGGAAGCAGGCTGGGAGGAAAGACAGAGACAGAAGCCCTGGACATAGTCCTGTACTCACAGTGGCCCCAGCTAATGTGGTAGCTGTAGAAGGTTGGTTGAAGCCCTTAGTCAGCAGCCTGGAGAGGACCAAAGGCACCATTCTGGCATGAGTGGCTTGTACACACTGTGGCTGAGCCCAGTGACAGGGGATGAGATGTGGTACAAAGTTGTGGCAGACTCAGTCTTGAAGCAGCCATTAGGAAAATCACAAAGATGCAGGCTTGCCAACCTGCCTCCCCTCACTCTCCTGTCACCCACTGGGCTCCAGCTAACATAGTAGCAGTTCTCACTTGGCAGCCCAGAGAAGGTCAGAGCCACAGAAGCACCACTGTGACCTTACTGGCCGGAGCACACTGCAGGTAGTCCCAGTGAAAGAAAAAAAGCTATAATGCATGAACCTACCCCTTCCCTACCCATCATGGTGGAGCATGGTGAAGGCAGCTGGGACACCTCATGTAGTACAGTGTGGCTGGCAGCCTTTGGTTGCAGGGAGAGAGCACTGGAAACTCACATGCCTGGAGCCTCATCACCTGCCACATCCCACCATGAGGGGGCTACACTGAGACAGAGGTGACCCGGTCACAGACAGGTTGCCCACATCTTCAGGGGAATACAGGGCATTTTCCACAGCTGATGTGAAACTGCCCACCGAGGTCCCAGAAGTCCTAATAGTGTAGATAAAACAAAAATGTGTGCTATAGCATGATCTACTTGAAAACAAAAGACCTCTATTTATTAGCCTGCTAAATTGTTAAAAAGCAAAACAGTACCTAAAGATTTCTATGTCTCAAATGCCCACACAGAGAAATAATCCATCAAATACCATGAATAAACAAGGTAGCTCAAAAAGAAAATGAAAAGTCTCCAAAAACAAATTCAAAGACACAGAAGACTGATTTAAATGATGAAGAATTTAAGATTGCAGTTCTGTAAAAACTCAAGATACAAGAAAATTCAGAAAGGCAGTTCAAAGAGCTCATGAATAAAATCAAACAAAAGGAGTACTTTACCAAAGAGATTGAAACTATAAAAACAAAAAAACAAAAAAACGAATTCTGGAGCTAAAGGACTCAATGAGATGAAAAATGAATTAGACAGCTCAGGAAATAGAGAGGACCATGTGACAAGAGAATTAGTGATCTTGAAGACAAAAATCTAGAAGTGACTCAGGTGGGAAAAAAAAGAGAATTGAGATTAAAAACAAAAAACAATGAAACACCTCTACAAGAGGTCTGACTCCATCAGAAAGAGCAATATAAGAATAATGGGAATACCAGAAGGAAAAGAGAAAAAGAAGGGAATAGAAAGCCCTGTCAAATAAATAATTGATGAGAACTTCTGAAACCTATGTAAAGAGCTAGACCTGGAATCCAAGAAGCTGACAGAACACCTAATTATCTGAATGCAAACAGACCTTCTTCAAGACACATTATATTAAAACTGTTTAAAGCTAATGACAAAGAATTCTCAAGGCAACCAGGGCAAAAATGACTGTAACCTATAAAGGAAACCCAATTGGATTATCATTGAATTTTTTTAGCAGAAAACTTACAAGCTAGGGGAGAGTGGAATCAAGCATGTAAATATATAGAGAAATCACCAGCCAAGAATAAGATAGCTGGCAAAGTTTTCCTTCATATATGAAGGAGAAATAAAGCCTTTGCCAAACAAAAGCTGAGGGAATTTACCACCACAAGATCTGCATTACAAGACATGTTGAAAGGAGCTGTTAAACATGAAACAAACAAAAAGACAAAAGGATACAAAACTATGAGCATGATGACAGACAGACAGAAGCAGGAAATTGTAACTATTTCAGAATAGAGTATTAAATAATTATAGCATAAAGGTTTAAATGGGTAAAAATGTTAAAAAAAAGACTATAGCTTCTACAATTTGAAAATGAATGCACGTCATAAAAGGGGATAATTTGTGACAACAAAAAAGGGGGGGTCGGGGTAATGGACTGAACTTGCACAGGTGAATGGAGAAAAGATGCACTCAGAAGACAAAGGACTACTGTATGTATAAAACATTTTACACATAAACCTAACAGCAACCAGAAAATAAAAATCTAGAACAGAGGCACATAACATAAAAAAGAAGGACGAGAGGGGAAAAAAAAATCATAGAATACCACTGAACTAAAATAGAAATACAAGGGGAAAAGAAAACAATGAAGATACAGAGCAACGAGAAGCAAAAGATAAATGGTTGCAGTAAATTCTCATATGTCAATAATCACCCTAAATGTAAATGGACTGAACTCACCAATCAAGAGGCACACAGTAGTGGGATAGATTAAAAAACAAGACCCAATTATATGACGCCTTTAGGAGACCCATCTCAGCTACAGAGACAAACATAGATTCAAAGTGAAGGGATGGGAGATGATACTCCAGGAAAATAGCATCCAGAGAAAAGCAGGTATAGCAGTACTTATATCAGACAAAATATATTTCAACATAAAAAAATGTAACAAGAGACAAACAGGGAGCGTACATTCAGTTTCTACTGGTGGCTGCATTTCCCAGGCCTTAACACTTGGACTAGAATGAGAACATCAGCAATCCTGGGTCTCCAACTTGATTGCAGCTCTTGGACTTCTCAGCCTCCATATTCACAATCTTCTAACTTCCTTTCTAGTGTGATGGCATTAAAAGAAATCTGAACTGGGCTTCCAATCAAGATGGCAAAATAGTTAAAGGCTGTACTCACCTCCTCCCACAACCACATCAA